CACAGGAGGCAAAGCTCAGATTCTTCTATGGAGACTCAAAAAATTAAAAGGAATTTTTCTATTTATTAAACAAAATCGATACCACCATAGTCAAAGATATCAATCACATATAAATTTTGCTCTTGACTGAAGGCGGTTAAGGCGTGTGGCACAGGGGTCAAAACACAGATTACCCTATGAGGGCGTCTTAACCGACTCCAATCGGGACTTAAATTTTTATGTGATATCCTCGACATTAGTAGTATCGATATCGGGTATTAAATGAAAAAAAATGTTTTTTTATTTTTTGAGTTCATAGAGGAGTCTATACTTTGCCCCCTGGGCGACACGTCTTAACCGTCTCCAATCGGGACCAAAATGTATATGTGATATCTGTGACGAGGAGTTGAAACTGAAAAAATCGTTAATATGATTTTTTACGGACCACCCTAATGTGCATACTATTTTGTGGGACTATTTCGAGGTAGCTCGAAATTAGTCACGAAAAGATCCTTAAATATCCTTGAACCATTCATCAATGTTTAATTTCTAACCTAATTTTCGTGCTATCGCGCAATCCTGCAAGACTTAGAAATTCCTCTAATTTGTTATAAATATAGAGTGCACCTGCATAAGTAGATACTTAATTATAGTAGCAACTTTTTTGCTAACCCTAGTCGTATTTATTCAGTACTAAAATAATTTGTTTTTATATTTCTAGTTCTTACCGAATGGTTCCATGAAGCTCATCAAGAATTCAACAAACCTTGCGGCTTAGAAATGGATGGCTACAAATCGTTAAAGTATATGGATTCAGATTGCAATGTACACTAATCCTTTTAAAATACATAAATAAGAGTTATTATGATATAAATAGTATTTATAATACGCATTTCTCAACTTTTTTATACGTATGTAACAACTAGTAATTTTTAGCAAAAAAAAAACCGACTTCAACTCCCATATAAAAAAAAAATATATATATATATATCTCATGATCCAGATCCGGATCTCAACCAGATTAGTATGGGACCACCTCTGAGACACTACCTTTCCGATGCAAAAAGAATTATCGAAATCGGTTGACGTGGTCCAAAGTTATGCGGTCACATACATAAAAAAAAAAATAAAAAAAAAATATTCCGACGAACTGATAACCTCCTCCTTTTTTGGAAGTCGGTTAAAAAATAATGCTGAATTAAAAAATTAAATCATTTATATATATATATAACAAAAGTTTACAGAAATAAAAAAAAAAATTGTTGGACCTGCGATGATTTTTATGACTTCCAATGCGAAATCAGAATTAAAGAAAGTAAAAGAGTTTTTCGGCCTTAGCGAAACTTCGGATTTTTGAGATTTGAAAGAGCGCACTCACTTATTTTTAATTTTCTTTGGATATAGTCGATCAATCCTAGATTCCTTTTTTCATAAGCAAATCCTATGAAATTGTCTATCATTTCCAAAAAAATTATTTTGGTACAAACATAAACATTTGGAAAATTCTCCTTCAAAACTAACTAATTCCATATGGTAATTTTCAAATGTGGTTAAGTCCAGCGCAAAAACTGCTTTATTTTTTAAATAAGCTTAAGCTTACTTACCACGATTTCTATTTGTTTATTTTTTTTTCAATGTTCAATTTACATGCATATGAGGCCTTGACAGCCGAAGTATCTTAACGGAAGATTCCAAAAAACTTAAAATTTAAAAAATTTCTCATTTTACTCAACAACACCTTTATGTATATGGGCTCCTCTCGTTCTCATGACCTCATATGTACATACATACATATATGTATATGTTCGTTTTATTCTGTCTATATAATTATTACAGAAATTTTAACTTTAACAAATCTTATCCGTTCGCTCGGGTAACACCTATGTATGTATGTATAGTGATTTTCAGAATTAAGTATACGGACCAGCTTATTTACAGTATTTCCATTATGTTAAGTTTGAAAACCCCTCATATTTACATATGTACATACGTATATAGATGTGTTGGCGTACATATAAAGGTATGTGTGTATGTACATACATATTTTCCCGTATATAATTTCTACTACAAATTTAATTCAATATACTTGTCACCTGAGGTATTCTTTCCCAAAGAAGAATTTCAAATGCACTACAAATGTACTTAAATATTAATGTGCATACATATATACATATGTTGTGTATATTTATCCAAGAACGATATAAAATAACTGGTTTGAAAGTATCTGTTGAAATGTACCGAAAAAACGTATTACTAATCACGTAGAAAACAGGAAGACAAAAATGTATAGCGATACCAGAGAGTAATCAAGAAAATTCAGTTAGTGCCATAGCGAAACCGTTGGATCTACATTTATGAAAGATGTACGTATGTACACTTGTGACAGCTAATTAAGCCAGCAATATTTTGATAAATTTTGGCTATTTTTCTTTTGTTTATTTAATGTTTATTATTTTTCCATAAAAGTCTAGCTCATTATATAACAAACACTTTATGCAAAAATTATGAAAAATCTGCAAAGCTTATTCAGATTTTCTAGAGTATGCAGTTTAATAGCCCATTAAATTCTAGGGTAATAATGTGCAAGTCTTAAGTTGCTAAAAATCGCGTTGATTTTTAATAATTTTTTTTCTGACTTCATGACGAATTTTTTTTATACAAAAAAAATTGTCGAATTTAATTTGTATGAAAAAAAATTTGTAATGCAGTCAAAAAAAAAATGGAAAAATAATAAACATTAAATAAACGAAATCAAAATAGCCAAAATTTGTCAAAATGTTGTTGGCTTAATTTGCTGATCACAAGTGTATGTACGTAAGCATGTATATAAAAGTAATTGACAAATGGTAGCTGCATACGTACGTATCAGGGATGTTCCGAATGTTTTATATTTCACATTCGCAAATTCGACTTTTCGGAATTACTTTAAAAAAGCTATAACCAACTTAAGTCATTGTTTTTATTATTTACAAATTTCATAAATTACACCTATATAGTGCTTTAATTTAATAATCTAATAGCCAAAGCTCAAAAGAAGCGGGCTGCACTGAACAATTGATCACTCTGTGCACTGACGGGTGCAACGCTCAATTTTTTGCGAACTTGATCCATCAATTTGCACTATTTAAGTTTAGTTTTCAATCAATCGAGAGTATTTTCATCGAGAATGGCTCGTTTTTCTTTAAGATATCGCTTTCACTCGAGGAATATAAAATTCCTTCTAGCAGAACTTCCTTTTAGCAGAACTTGTTCAACACTCGTAATTCGCAAAACATTCGCATTATTTGATGCGAAAGCAAATGTCGATGTGAATGTTTAAAATAAAATGATGCGAATCGTTCGCATTAGCGAATCCGAATGCAAATATTCCTAACATTCCTATCATGATGTATGTACATACAGTGAGTCAAACAAATGATCACGTATTGATGTATTTTAAATAGTCGTAATGATTTCGAGCTACATTTTTTGCACTTTTTTTCCATATAAGCATGAATTTCTTATGATATAAAACTCGGGAGACCGATAGCAACAAAATTTCAGAAACCCAACACCCGTTTTTGTAAATTACACTTGTAATATTAAAAAAAAAAAAAAAACGAAAAGTAGTCTCCAAAAAAAATTTTCAAAAATCAACCAGATTTTTCAGCTGGTTGAAACTTGCAACTGGAATTGTATGGGCTATAAAACTGCATACCCAAAAATGTTTTAAACATTCAGATTAAAAAGTTAAAAAAAGATTCTGATGAAAATTTGTTGAATTTTCCTAAATTTTGTATAAGGTATGTCATTTGTTTCAGTCACTGTATATACAGTATTGCTTATATCATTAGCACGCACATTTCATAGTGACATTGTTTGCCACTTATGTTAATTTCTTAATTTTTAAGAATTTCCAATTAAAATACAATTCATCCTCTAGCAAAAACACATATAAAATTTAAAACTTCTCGGAAGTGTTAGATTTTTTTATGTAATAATGTGCAAGTTTCAAGTGGCAAAAATTAGCGTTGATTTTTTCTTATTTTGCCATGATAGAGAAACAAACTTTTGACTTCATTTAAGAAAGTTGAAATCTGTCCACTTAATGACCACTGTTTTGACCCAACATCCAGATTTTCAGCTTTTTTGATCATTACTTAAGATTTTGGAGATGTATTTGAAATTCTGCTAATGTCAAAATTGTTTTGTAGACCCCTTCTACCGCCTCTACCACAGGACAAAAAAAGCCCTTCTTTTCTTTTTTTCCAAGTATCAAAAAAAATCGCCAAATCTGGACACTCTGTCTCCAAAACTCCAAAATCCGCTGCTGATATAGATTAATGTTCAAATCACGTATTCAAATTTACGTATTATATTCATATCAATTTTAAGGCTTCTCGAGTAAGTAAGTAAGTAAGTAATTAGTACTTGCAAAATTAATCCTATTCGACTTATTTTTTCGTAAGTAATCTAGTAATGGTATGTAGGAAGCCATCCGCGTACGTTTTTTTTTTAATTTATTTCAGCGATGGGCACCGTCTTGCCCTTGGGCAGAGCTCTTTTAAGCTTTCTATACATTTCGAATAGTGTGCCTATCGCTAATTTATTTGCAATTTGAAAATCTTCGACAGTTTGAATCAATCCCGCTCATTTCCCACTATGCGGCTCAGAGCTTGCAGGGCGTACATATGCACAACTTATAAGCAAATTGTGTATAATAGGGTGAACGCACGACTGCGAATAGAATTTTAGTCTAAATGTAAAACGTATTTACTATCGCATTATGGATCACCGAAGTCCCTCTAAAAAACTATATTTTATAAAAGAAAGAAATAATGTATACAAAAGCTTTTTGGCCTTTTTTGCATACCTAAACCACGTAAAAATTTAGTAAAACCAACAAGTCTTTTTATTTTACATTTTAGTTAGTTAGACACATTCAAACGAGCAACATACCCGGAGTGTTAAAAACAAAGTGGGAAAAGATAAAATTAAGTAAAATTGCGATAATATCGGTATACCTAGACAAATTTAACACAATGCCATTGACCCTTCATAAGCCATTGAACGGAAAGATCATCAAAACGTACAAATTTACTAAGGCAGCAACAAAATCAACATCACATCTTACATTTTTGCTACTTATGCTAATTACTTTGCTGGTCAATGTTCTCGACGCAGCAGCAGCAGCAGCAGCTCAAGCTACAGATTATAGTAGCGCAACAACATCTTCAGTGGCCGCGGATCAATATGGCTTGGAGCAGTATTTGGATACGCAAATAGTGCTCATTGATACGCTGCGCGAGTATATCAATGCATTGGAGCAAAAAATTGATATTATAAAGTGGTGAGTGGCAAAAAATTGGACAAATGTAATGCAATATGTTTATTTCAGGCTCAGCTTTATTAACATATATACATATGTTTGTATGTATATGTAAAGACAACAAGGTTAAGAAGAGATTTAAGACACACTTCATGAATTTATATATGAATACGCTTACATTACGCTAATATAGGTAACAAAAGCTTTTGGAAAGGATGGTTCTTTTTAATACCTTCTAAATTTTATTGTGGCTAGTTAACTTTATCAATATTAAATTTAAATGGTGCTCTTAGAGACGCCATGCTTTGGCTGGAGTGAGCAGGCGATAACAGTCAGTGGCTGTGTGTAATAGGCGGCAATGTCCTAGGCGGTAGTCACCATCGGCTCTCTCTCCACTACCATGTGCACTACCACGGGTTAATAGAGTAGCTACTTACCTTGGAGTCGATGCAGTAGCGGTTCAAAAGTAGCGATTGACTCCAGCAACACTGGGGGGCAGTGCATCTGACTCGTGAGTTGCTTTGGATGTGTTTGTGAAAATAAATATGTGTTAGTTACACCACCATGACTCCCGTGATGACGCTGAATGATTCAACTGTGTAGTCGAAGGCGAGTCAACACGTACACAAATGACTCGCGAGTCAGACGCACCGTGTATGCCGCCTATTACTGAATTATTAATTTGTTTATACTTTAGCAAAGCAGCCGAGCTGGAAAGTATTGAATATATTTTTTAATAGTCCAGTTTTTCATAAAAAAAGTAATTTTTGGAAATTTCTGTACGAAAGTTTTACTATTTAATGTGTTTAATTAAAAAAATATTCTATGGATTTATGATAAACCAAAAGCGGTGACAAATATAATAGATATCCATATTTCTATGAAATGTGCATTATAAAATTCTCATCAGAAATCTAATAATTATATTGTGCATCAAAGTGAGACGCAAAAAACAAGACACTAATGTTCGTTGACGGTGGGCTTCAGTCTTTCATACCATACCTACGATAAGACCTCGTTACCTATTATTGTAAGGCTAACCCTATGGTAGTTGGGGCATATGACAGGATCGCCTTTCTGTGGATTGTGCAGAGCACACTTGCGCATGGACCTTATTACCTCCTTTCTGCCATACTTGCATAGCTCAGATGGCAGACCCTCAGCTTCAACAGCTTGGTTGTTTTTCAGCCGAGTTATTGCTATTCGTACCTCGTCATAGTCAGGCGGTGGAACATCGACTCGGTCATCATCGACTGCTCGCTTTAGTTTCTCGTTTTTCGATTCGGAGACAGCTTGTAGCTTGATGGATTTTTTTATGCTTAAACCTAGTACTGCATACTACTATGAATGGGCCCCGGCGAATTCGATCAGACTCAGTCCGTTGTCAGATGTTTCGTCGTGGAGCCTGAATTTCCGACGGTAGTTCCAAAGATCCCTTCCTTGCCCACCCTGGCATTGAAGTCGCCAGGCACGATTTGGATACAATGGCGAGGGCAGCGCTCGTAGGTGCGCTCCAAGCGCTCATAGAAGAGATCCTTGGCTATCTAATCCTTCTCTTGCGTCGGGCATGGGCGCAGATTCGAGATATTGAAGAATCTCGCTTTGATGCGAATTGTGGCTAGACGCTCGTACACCGGGGTAAACGACAATACACGGCGATGGAGTCTCTCTCCCACCACAAATCCAACACAGCTTTAGTAGATGTCGCAAGGCCCCAGACATTGCTTGCCATGCCCGCCCAACACATTTCTTGGATGGCGGTGATTTCAGCTTTTGTCCTTACGAGGACATCAACCAGCCGGGCAGAGGCACCTTCCTCAATAAGGGTCTGTACATTCCAGGTGCATGCCCTCTAATCCTAGTCCGATAAATGTTTGCCATGGTCTTCATCATATGGGGGGAACTCATCCGAGGCTTTATTTCAGGAAGTGGTTTTTACGTGGCGGGGCCCAAACCCAGCGGACAACCCATTATCGGGACGGGGATGGTTTCGCAACCAAATACACGTTTATATAGCGAGCCGCTTGCTCCAGGACAGACACTCGCTTGCAGCCGCACCTACTGGTGAACAGACGCTGCAGACTTTAGTGAGCCCTTTAACCGAATAAGTCGGAGTGGCCCCACCGAAGCTCCCTCTCTTTCTGCCGTGACCCAAGGCTCGACTCGGATTGGCTACCGTATCTCGCACATGGTTTGCCCACGTTACCGAGAGTGCGCGACGAGGACAAAAGAGTCGGAATTAAGTATTCCCGTACAACTTTAACTACACACCCAACACAATGACTATACCCCATTGCACTCCAGTACAATGGGTTTATATGGGCTTTGTTAGAGAATGAACTGTGATTTAATTGAAAATTCCTAAAAGTAAATAAATAACTTGAGTGTCAAACAATATCACTTGGAAATGGGGGTGCTATTGTATTGATCGATACTGTATTCCATGTTATTAAATTTTATTACTGTTTTATTTTAATTAAATTTAATTAAGATTAATTTAACTTATCTCATTTTTATTCATTTTGTTTTACTCTATTTTATTTTATTTAATTTAATTTTTTTCCTTTATTACTTTTTATTTTATTTTAATTGATTTAACCCTAGACCGTCATCCTTCGTCAAAACGACTACGCACGATGTTATTTTCATTGTTACTAAGTTTTTATTGTTCTTTGAATTATAAATTTTAAGCTTAAAGAATATATGTTTCCTTTTTAATTTTGATTTTTCATTGTTAATAATGAAATAAATAAAACAATAAAATCAATTATGCCCATTATTTATGCTCACACTCCATTTAATTTGGATTTCAAATTAGGTGTCGTCAAAATGACGAAGGATGACGTTAATGTACAAAAAATTAGGATGACTGTCCAGGGTTAAATTAATTTAATTTATTTTATTTATTTTTAATTTATATTTAATTTTATTTAATTTCATTTAATTTTTTATTTTATTTTTTATTTTTTTTTTATTCTATTTTTTTTTTAGTTATTCCATTTTGTTGTATCCTTTTTCTTGTCTTTTGAATACCTCCAGCAAAACGGAGCAAATCAAAACTATCAACGATGTGGCTCTCACCGATGTGCCTAAATATGTAAACAATCCCTTGAATGCGCTGACAATGCTTAAACGATTTACCTCCGATTGGCATATTTTGCAACAATACGCACACAACGTTAACAACACGAAAAGTGAGTATCCGTATTGCCAGTTGAGCATTCTGACATGCCTGCAATTTATGTCTACAACGATTGCCAATCAATGCCAATGTGAGACGAGAATTCCCTTCCAGCCTCATATATAATCACAGTCAATGCTGCATGTCAATATGAGTCACATGCATCCATATATACATACATACATACATACAAAGGAATTTATTATCATTGAAAGTACTGTTTGTTATTCCTTACTCATCCATGCCTATAGAAATCGTCCAAAATCTCACAAATACTAGAAATTCATTAAAATTCCCGAGCGAAAGTGATTTCGATGAGGCAGCCGGCAATCTACTGCGTATTCAAGGAATTTACCAACTGCAGTCGGAGGGACTAGCAATGGGCGAAGTTAGTGGTGTGAAATTGGGGTAAGTCATCTTGCAAGGAACTTAACATTGAATGTTCAATAAAGAAGTAAAAAAAAACGGATAAATCGCGGCTTAAGGCACTACATGCACGTACATACATTCGTATATAATTTCTCTGAGCATGACTGCTGGTTTCTCATACTTACTTTTGATGCTTTATTTCATGTTCCCGCAGCTCAACAATGTCCTGGAGCGATTGTCTGGAAATTGGCCGCAAATCAGTACAAAAAGGGGATTTTATGATTGCGAAATTTTGGATTGAGGCGGCATTGGGAACGCTGCCTAGTGAGGGAACAAAATCGGCGATAATGAGTGCGNAAAAGGGGATTTTATGATTGCGAAATTTTGGATTGAGGCGGCATTGGGAAAGCTGCCTAGTGAGGGAACAAAATCGGCGATAATGAGCGCAAATGCTTCGAAAGAGATGCCTACTATAAATGGCGTTGGCAGTAGTGTGATAGAGAAAGCGCGCTTAGAGATTATGGAAGCGCTGGTGACAACCGAATTTCGTATGGGTGAGTACGTCTAAGAGTTCTTATATGCCAAGCTACCAGTGCTGCCAACTATTTTGGAGTAAGAAATTCAGATTTTTATAAAAAGCTAGAAAAAAGCTAAATTCCACAAAACAAAAGCTGAAAACTAAATAGGTTTATATTAATACTAGCAATCCCGGCGAACTTCGTGCCACCCAAAATTAATTTTTTATTGAAACATTTGGTGCAACATTTTCACCAACAATTCACGTTTGGTTTTGTGACTAGACTTATTTCAGACGAAATATCTTAAATATCTTACAATTGTATTTGTATGCATTTGTCAAGAATTGTCTTTAATCTGTTTTGTCAACATAAAACCAGGTCTGCAATGGTTCTGGTGGCGAATTTAACGACGGTATTTTGACTTTGATCCCCGGTGTCTCCTAATGACTCCACTTGACGATTTTTAGAAATAACTCGACTCCAGCGCCATCTTGAAGCTTTGCGGCGCCTAAAAACACCTTTCGAACTTTAAAATATTCATTCAATTCTCTTCTATGTATATATTTAATACGTGTACCGAATTTGTAATTTTAAATACATATGTATGTACTATATTTATAAGGGAAAAAGCTAAAAATCCGTAAAAATAAATCTCAAAAAGCTGGATTTCCCGCTTTTCGCAATTTCTCATTTCTTGCCGCCAAATGGACTTCGAAAAATTAAGATTTGACGGGAAAAGCGATAGATTGGCAACCCTGCATGATACGCACATACATATGTATGTACACACGTGTATACAGCCCGCGCAAATTTTTATAAATACAAATTTTAGTAATGGCATTAATGATTGATATGTATAAACCAGAAAGCAGTCACTTATAAATATTTATATACGATATATACATAGGTACGTATGTACACTAGGGTGCCCATCGAATTTATTTTCGAAATTTCAGGACCCTACACCCTATTTATTTATTTGTTTATTTAATCTATTAAACTTATAATAAAATTATAAATTTAAAGTGTAAGCTAGCGCTAGCTGCTGGGGCTATCGGCTAACCCTACCCCCTTATTTCCTTCCTTGTTATGACAAACATTCTTGCCTAATTTTGTAGATTTTTCAAAAATCATTTAGAGGCCGCGAGTTGTCATTTTAGGTCAGAAAGTGCGGTTTTGGATGACTAGTTTTCATTCAGTTTTAAAGATCGAACATGTCGTGAGAAGAAGATGTATAGGCCTTTAACGTGATGTATAATAATGTATTGTCACACTTGGATTGTTGGGCGTTTTCATCGGGTAAAAAAAACACCTTTTCTTTTTAATTTTTTAGTTTTTGACCATCGCTATTTTCCACAATTTAAAAAAATGTAGTACTATCTAAAATTAAGTCTATTTTCAAATAAACTTATTTTATCAATAAATCGATAAAAATTGTCGGAGTTTCCTAAATACGGCCTTGAATTTATATTGTACATGTACCGGACTGTTAGGTTTTTTGAGCAGTGGGGCTAAGGAATTAATCAATACTTATTTAAAATTGATATATACAATCGCTCTTTAGCAAAAAAGTGCCTTTTCAAGAAATTTTAGGAAAATGGGGGTGGCACCGCCCACTTATATGATATATGCGTATCTCAAAAACTACTTGTCCGATTTCAACGAAATTTGGTATACACATGGTGCTTAGCCTCCTTAAGCACCATCTTCAATATTTTTGAAATCCTATATCAAAACAAAATTTTACAAAAACTGGACTTAGGAAGCTTTCACTGCAAGCTAGCGGTATGTGGAACTTGTTATATTTTATTTAGGTCAGAAGCAAAAAATTTTGAGGGTACAAGTTTCGAAATTCGCAGGAGAAAATTTCTGTGACACTCTAATGTACATACATATACATACAAATTTGTTCAATTGTAATATACATAAGTGAATTATAATTCTTCTAGGTAACATTGATGGCGCGTTTGAAATTATAAATAAATTGCTGCGACAGCATCCTAGAAGCGAATTTTTCCGCAAAGTTAGAGCGCAAATGGAAAATGAATTGGAGAAATCTACTGCGAACTCCAAGGACAAAAAACAAAAGAAAAAGGTGAGGAGCTTGCAAACATCTTTTGGAATTTCATGCACNACACTCAATTTAATTATGGACATTTGCATGGAAAAATTATCCTTGACTGGATATCAGATGTTTAGCGAAGACAATTTTTATAGGATAATATCATAGAGACGGTTGAGATTTTGACATTCTAAAATATGTTTCGCATAACACAATTGTGATGATAAGAAAACTTAATCCGAAATTGAAGATAAGCGTCCAACATAAACTTTCATAGTACATACATATTTTCTTTTTAATATTTAATTTTGTATGCATATTTATACAATTTCAGTAATAAGGAAAACTACACTACCAGAGTAGCCTAACTGACATTAAACAAAAAATTATGTATAGATTAAAATGCAGTTTTAGAAAACAGAAACGGTAAAGGCCCGCTGTACGCCCTTTTTAAACGGATTCATCGTTTTAGTTCAGAACTTTTCCATGTGGTTGTTGATGTGTTTATCTCACATAGTTTACTTTTACTATAATACAGTAAAATATCCTTCCTTCCCGTATATCTCAAAACAATTTGCCTGTAGATAGACTCCTGTGGCTTTCATGGCCTCATATATTCTTAGCTCTATTTCCAACTGAATCTTAGTTGTCTTCATCTCAGGAGGTTTTCCTCTTACTCTACTACCACAAGGGGCAAC